AGGGAGAGATGAGTGGTGGAGATATAGATCTGGGACTTCCCAATGTGTGGATTATTAAAGCAAACTTCCTAGGGAGCCTTCGAAGAATGAAAAGGGTGGTCACGTGAAGATGGAACCATAGGGACAGCCCAAAGTGAAGAGGATGCAGAGGATGCAGAAAATTTCCCCTTTGCCTTCTGAGGTTAATGACAAAATGTGGGTTAATAGGATAAAAAGTGATACAGATTTATGTGATCATAGTTTTAAGGGGTATGGGGCCTTCAGAATGAAGACTGAAAAATAATACACTGGAAACTATCCATTTTTTGGCTTATATTTAACAAGGTATGAATCTAATTGGGCAAAAAGGGCATGACGCAATGGTAATAGACTGAGTAAGGAAAATAAGCAAAGTCTATCTGTCTAGATTTTTCTCGGCACCTCTGTGCAGTATGCCTTACTTTTGGTGTCGGGCAGGACCCTCTCTAGAATGTAGGTCTCATAAGACAATCAAACAAGGTCAGATAATTTCTTTATGGTCAATTTTTTTTGTTGTTGTTTGTTTTGTTTTAAGAGGCAGGATCTTGCTTTGTTGCCCAGGCTCTGGTGCCCATGGCATCAGCATAGCTCACCACAGCCTCAAACTTCTGGGCTGAAGTGAGCCTGCCTCGGTCTCCCAAGTAGCTAGGACTAGAGGCACACCACCACACTTGGCTAATTTCTTTAATTTTTGTAGAGATGAGGTCTAATTATGTTTCCCAGGCTGGTTGCAATCTCTTGGCCTCAAGCAAACCTCCTGCCTCAGTCTTCCAAAGTGTTGGAATTACAGGTATGAGCTACCATGGTGTGAGCTACCTATTTGAGCCACCTTTTATGGCCAGTGTTTAGGCAGAAAGACAAGGGGAGAATGTGAGTAATATTTTTAGGTTGTATGCCTGGCTTTGGGGAAAAGTGGCTCTGGTTACTGTGACTCACCTTGGAGAAGAGGGATTCTAGTTTCTATGGTTATTAGCCTCTAGGGGAACTGAGGGCCCAGAGACAGGAGGACAGGAGGAGGTCAGACAAAACTTTTGCTTCTGAGACTGTTTCTACAGGCTTCATTTTGGAGTATTATTTTTCTGAGACCCTACAGGGACAATGGAGAATGAGCTAGGAGACTGAGAAGAAAGTTATCAAGGGGGGGGATTTTGTGGAGTTTCAAAAGATGTCTGCAAGTTCAAACATAGTAAAGAGGCAAAGTGAAATGAAAACAAATTCTTCTGTTGTATTTGGCCATTAGAGTTTTTGATGAAATTATTGTGTTTAGGTCCAAAGGATGTTAGCATTAGTCAATCAATTTAAAATCATGTAGACTTACTTATTTTGAAAGATAACAGCATTTTAGATATAAGAACCTTGATAATTTTTATTTATGTTACAGCTAAAAAATTATTTGCACACAGTAGGTGCTCAATAAACAATGGCTGTGTGAATGATTGAACTCTATTGGCGGAGCCAGAACTAGGAAGCATGCAAAAAAAGACAAGGTGTGTTTCCACGTGCACACCATATGTAATGTGGGAGTACTCAGTAATGAGTAACTCACTGAATAGTCAGAGATAAAGGTTTATATAACAACTTAACAAAAAAGGAAGGGGTCATTTAAGGCTTCAGCAGGGAAGTATGGAAAGTTTTGTTGGGCTTTCAGTAAAAAAAGGAGCCAATGGTAGCTGTATTTTCAGAAAAGGATTCAATGCAGTTGTACCTTTGGGAGTATCTACTTAAATTTAGATAATGTTTCTTTCTGTTGATTGGTAAGAGGCTTTCTACTTAATTTTAATACCTTCATTCACATGTGGTGTTCTTTTCCCTAATTTTTTTTTTTTTTTTTTGAGCAGCGCTCTGCAGAACACCAGGAGCCCATGAAAGCATTTTAGAGTTCTTTTAAAACGGTGTATTTTAGCCAGGTGTGGTAGCACATGCCTGTAGTTCTGGCTTCTGGGGAGACTGAGGTGGAAGGATCGCTGGTCGAGCCCCAGCAGGTTGAGGCTGCAGTGATTGTGAGCATGCCATTGCACTCCAGCCTGGGCGACAGAGTGAGACTCCAACTCTAAATAAATAATAAATAAATAAGGTGTATTTTTCCGATTGAAAGATATTTCAGTATTTCTGAAGATCTCATTGATCACACTGACTTGGTTATAATTTTACTAGAAAATAGTTTCTTCCTAATATGTATATATTTGTCAAAAGTCACTTTATGAAGCTTCCAAATCTAGGGACATTCTGTATTGTGTTAAACTTATTAAAATAGAGATCCTTTATTTTTTCTCAGTGGTAGGAGTTCATTTATTCAACAGATATTTATAAAACACATCCTATTGATGATACTAAGCATGGTAATAATGGCAATGGATGAATATCCATTCTATCATAACACTTTTATTTGATACTCCTAATCAACTTTAAAAGAAAGAAGTTTTTATAACAAGATCTATAAATTAAAAAAAATATATTTTACTGACTCTTTACCAAAAATGATGATGCCTTTATAGTTTTATGGTTTTAGATTTTGATATTTATGAAATCATTAGATCCAATGGAAGAGTAAATTAGACCACAAAAATTATTCTTTAAACATTTTCAGTAACACTCTTAGTTTTCAGATTGTCCTATCATCAGTTCATTAGTTTCACACAATTAGTGAATCGTCTGAACAAGTCCTTTGAGAATTCTTGCCTTGGTTTTATTGATGAGACAACTGACAGAAAGATATAAAGTGCTTTATCCAAGGTTATCTAGTGAGTCAGTGTCAGAGTCCAAGTCAAAATTCCTGCCTCTTGGTTTTTTCCTGATTTCAGTAACACCCTAATTCCCATAATTATCTGTAAGTGTTCACTGACATGGTTTAATTTTATGAAGACCCTTAATTTTCAGCCACTAAAATGCATTTTATTAGGTAGACAAAAATTATAGATTAATTGGGCAGAAAGCTTTCTATTTGGAGTGGGCTATTAAATAATCTTTCACTTTTAGAAATATGACTTTACATGATTATAAGATCATTTAAATATGTAGCAAAATCCTTTTAAAATGTGAAGTTCTGTAGTTAACCTCTGTATCAGACCTTGTTCTTCACTAAAAGTGTTTGCCCATGTGGTTGATTGGAATAAAAACATAAAGGTAGAATTAATTAATTGCATTGGTTAATGTTAGATAAATATACACACATAATAAAATGAGGAATTAAATAATTCCATGTCAAAAATTGGAATTTGGGGATCTAAATTACCCAGTGACTACCATAATCCTCCTTCATTTAGTATACATTGATTAGGCTGAAAGTTTTGAGTTAATGCAAAATGGGCTATGTTAACAATGGTAAAAAAGGAAGGATTGGTCCATTTTGAAAAATTTTACTTTGTTATCATGACATTTTATAGACATTATATAACATACACTTCATATTTTATGTTATGTATTTTATATAATATATTTGTACATTATATTTTGTGTTTATAAATACACACACACATATACTGGGGGTGTTACACATTTTGAGAGATGTTATCTATATGTTACTTTTAATTTACCGTGATCAAAAGTGTCTGGACACTGATGGTAACCACTTTGAGCACCTCTTTTAATTGCAGAAGTCAAACGTGACTTGTATTCATCTTTTCTTATCAGTATACAAGGTGTGACAATTAAGTTCACAGACTTGCCACTGTGTGCTTACATTGGCAGCACTGTACAAACAACTCAGGAAGGTTTCATAACCTTGACATATCAGTGTCTCATAGCTGTGTTTCTGTTGACATGTGGGGGTGTCTTGCTGAATGGCATTTGTTATTGTTTTTGCATGTTTTTGTATGCTGTCATGAGAATGTGGAGCTTGAGTTAGAGCAAAAAGCAAACATTAAATTTCTTGTTAAACTTGGCAAGAGTGCAAGTGAAATCAGGGACATGCTAGTCCAAGTTTATGGGGATAATGCCATGAAGAAAATGGCAGTGTACAAATTGATTAAAATTTTTTTGAGAGAAGAGAAAGCGTCACTAATAAAGAGAGGTCAGGGCCACCAGTAACTAGCAGAACTGACAAAAACTTTGCAAAAAGTCACTGAATTGTGTGTCAAACCGCCAGCCGATTGTGAGACACACAGGAGACCAAATAAACATCAACAGAGAAACAGTTAGGAAAATCTTAACTGAAAATCTTGGCAGGAGAAAGATGTGTGTGAAAATGGTCCCAAAGGAGCTCTTGAATCATGACATTGCACCAGCTCACACGGCACTATCTGTGAGGGAGTTTTTAGTCAGTGAAAAAATAACTGCATTGGAACATTATTCCTACTCACCTGATCTGACCCCCCCATGACTTTTTTCTTTACCAGAAGGTAAAGGAAATGTTGAAAGGAAGACATTTTGATTACATTCAGAATGTAAAGGGTAATACAGCTCTGGTGGCTACTCCAGAAAAAGAGTTCCCAAATTGCTTTGGTAAGTGGCTTTGGCGCTGGTGTTGGTGCATAGCTTCCCAAGGGAAGTACTTTGAAGATGACCATAGTGATATCCAACAATGAGTTATGTAGCACTTTTTTTTAAGGATGAGTTCTTGAACCTAATTGTCAGACTTTGTATATTACAATTTTAATACAATTTTTTCCTTTCTTAAAATGTGTATGCATTTTTGGCATCCTCTGTACACACACACACACACACACACACACACACACACACACACACACACACACAACATACAAACTTTAGCAACTTATTAGGAAATGAAAGAAGTCATGGCTCAAGAAATAATCTAATTTCAGAATCATCTTACTCATATATACCTATGTGGAAAAAGAACATACATTATATTATGAATTTTCACAAACTGAACGTATTGTGCAAAGGCATTTTACTTTTGATGAAAATTATTTTCTTGAGAGACATCATAAAATATATTATTAGGAGATTTTAATATATTAACTGAATAAAAAGTTTTAGAAGCATCAATTAATTGCTAACACTTAAAAAATGTTTTCCAGGTCTCTTTGATGTTATTTTCAACAAGGAAAATATATGCATTTTCCAAAGTCATGAGATGAGGCATCTTTCTCTTGCAATTGACAATGGCATTGTCACTGGAATGGTGTGTAGTAAATTTTCTCTTTGCCATATATGAATACTATTGTGTCTGTATATTATATATTTTTGTGAAAGATACTTTTGTAGTATTATGAAATTACATTTTCCTTTGGCTTATATTTTCATTTTTTCATTATTATGTTTTGTTTCACTAATTTTTGAGATTCTGATACATAAATGGTCCGAAATTCCTAAATTGGAATTTAGACAAGGAAAAGCAGACTAATTTTCTGATAACATTCAAAATTGTAATGGGCTTTCAAAAGAAGACTGACTTCTTAGTGGTCCCTTTAGGGTCCATATTGTTGGGGAAAAGCAATAATTTTACCTAATTACGCTTTGTGCTGCTTAGGTTTAGGTTTGAGAAGTAGATTTTAATATATAAGACTATCTTCCAAAATGCATGCGTTATCTATTTTTAGAAATGATACAGCATAGGATAACTTTAATACACTGGTTTACATATTTAATTTTTAAGTCTGCCATGTGAGAGAATCCACTATTGTCCCTATTTAGCAGAAGAGGAACATGAATTTCAGAAAGGTTAAGTGAGTTACACAGAATCACAAGCTACAAAGTGTAGACAGAAATTGAACACAGACAATCTGACATTAGCCCTCCTGCTACAACTTACTCATATAACGTTATACAATATTACATAATGATTTTAACTCAGTGGAGATCATTTAAGCTAAGGGAAAATAATAATTACTGAAACAAAACTTGTGTAATTTGTATGCCTGAAATTCAGGCTAAGTGATGAATAAATCAAGCTTTCCATATGATACCTTTTCTCCTCAGCCATGGACTTAGTAAAATACCCTACTATTTCTTAGCACATTTTGATCTGCATGGAGTCTGGTCATAAATACTTAAGAAATACGAATGTAGTGCATATGGAATCTACTCAATTGAATTAAGTGTTGAAGAAATGTCTCATGACTATGTTTTCCTAAAATCAAATTAAGTCTACCTGTAAAGCCCCATTCCGCTAGGTAGCACTAAATTGATGGGAAATTTCATCTTAGTTACCATGAGACACATCTTGTTTCACAGATTTTACCTGGAATGGAAGGGCCTCAGAGTATCTGGTGACAGATGTTAATAGCTTTGGATCACATTGGTCACTGTGATGTACTCATTAAATGTGAGATGGTTTTTTGAAGACAAATATCTGTGCTGCTTTTCCTATCATACTTGGGCAATAGAGCTTTGCTGAGGTTAGTAGACTTAAGTGTCTTGGATTCAGTCATTCAAGGAGTACCAATGAGTCCTTCTTGGAATGTCTCATCGAAACATAACCTTCTCAATTTGAAAGCAAAACCTAGGAATAAGATAAGACTTCTGTTAATTTTAGCTTTTTGTCCCGAACCATCTTAAATCAGGAGGACACAAACGGAAAAATAAACAAGGATAAAATACATATTAAATCTCCTTAAATTATCCTGCCACTGAAATTATTTTTCTTGTTACCCAACATTTGGCTATCGCTTTTGAAAAAAATCGAGAGAAGAAAGTCCTTGAAGCAAGACACTGGAAATAAGCCTGGGGAATAAAAGCCACTGAATTACAAAATTGTGAGATTTTAGAAATATTACAAGAAATTCCATAAAGTGAGGTAGATGTGTATATGCATATAAAATCAACACTTTTCAGGTTTAATATGTTTTCTTGCTAATTCAGAGGTCATTTTTTTTCCTTTTAGGCGAGTGATGGAGCTGCCACAGAGCTACGAGTCCTTTACCAGCCTGACCGCTGTGCGCTTCTTGAATCAGCAGGGGTTCCTGGTCTCACGGTTATTTTTGATCGCCATGGCAAAATAGCAGATGAATCATCAGCAGGCTATACAAACCTTTCAAAAGAATTTGTGATTTTTGTCAAGGTAAAATGGAGGAAAGTCGTTGAAGTTTATATTGCTAAGTGTCTACTTTCTTTTATCCTATTGAGAAAAATTTGAATTAAGTCATAAGGTGGTAATCGGATCACTTCCCACAAGGTGACATTGGTGTGTATTACCATTCTCTGAGCCTTGACTTTGGAAGACATTAGAGATCACAGTTTTAGCAGCAATGACACTGAGACAGTATTAACACCCTATATCTAACTGCAGTTGGGGGTTAAAGCCATGAGTGTGGGAATTTTTAGTAAACAGTTAGACTATTTTGCATTTAGCAATCAGCAAATGTATATACTTAACTTTTCTAACCATTAGAATTTATACCCTTTGAGTGTTACATACATGCATTTGATCATATCATTATATTTTTTTATGTGTTTATGAATTTATCTTAAAAATAATACTATATTAAATTAGTAGCTGTCATTTGCATTAAACTTATTTATCATTTATATTGCCTACTTTGTACCAGGCATTTACTGAGAATTTCACCACATACAAGGGTAAATTTATCATAAAAAATACTGACAAATATTGTTATTGGTATTTTAAAGGTGAAGAAAAAGCTTTTCAAGGAAATTAATAATCTTTACCAGTATGGCATAGTTAATAATTGGTTTATGATTGAAAATTAAGTCTACTTGCCTTCACACATTCATAATATACCTCGAAGATATTACAGGTTCATTTTCAGATCACCAAAATGAAGCAAATATCTCAATAAAGCTAGTTACACAATTTTTTTGGTTTCCCAGTTCATTTAGAAGCTATGTTTGAGTTCCTTATACATCCTGAATGTTAGACCTTTGTCAGATATGCAGTTGGCAAAGATTTTTTTTTACCCATTCTGTGGGTTGTCTCTTCACTCTCGATGGTTTCTTTTGCTTTGCAGAAGCTTTTCAGTTTGATGAGGTCTCACTTGTGTATCTTATCTCTTAAGGCATATGCTTTTGATCAGGAATTGGTTGTCTATTCTGATTTCCATAAGGCTATCTCCGGCATTTTCTAAGATTCTTAAAGTTTGGGGTTTTACATTTAGGTCTTTGACTAGTTGGAGTTGATTTTTTTGTATGGTGATAGGTAATGGTCCTGTTTCATTCTTCAATGTGCTCAGTCAGTTTTCCCAGCACCATTTACTGAGTAAGTTCTCCTCTCCCCAGTGGTTGCTGTTGGAGGCTTTGTCAAAGATGAGTTGGTTGAGAAATTGAGGTTTTGCTTCCAGAATGTCTATCCATTGGCCTATAAGTTCATTCTTGTACCAATACCAGGTCATTTTGATTATTGAAGAGTTATAGTAAAGATTAAAGTCTGGAAGTGTGCTAATTCCCACTTTGATTCTTTTGCTGAGGATTGTTTTGGCTATTCATGGTCATTTATGTTTCCATATGAATTTCTGTATTGTTGTTTCCACATCTGAGAAGAATGATGTTGATAATTTAATGGGTATAGCATTGAATCTACAGATTGTCTTTGTTAGGATGAACATCTTAACAATGTTGATTCTTCCAATCCATGAGCATGGAACATTTTTCCATTTGTTTGTGTCATCTTTGACTTCTTTGAGCAGCGTTTTGCAGTTTTCATTGTAAAAATCTTTTACTTCTCCGGTTTTGTGTGTGTGTGTGTGTGTATGTGTGTGTGTATTGTGAATAGGAGTGTGCTTTTTATTTGTTTCTCTGCCTGTTTGTGGTCGGTGTATAAGAATGCGACTGTCAGCCGGGCTCGGTGGCTCAGCCTGTAATCCCGTGCTTTGGGAGACTGAGGTGAGTGAATTGCCTGAGACCGTGGGTTTGAGACCCGCCTGAGCAACTTGGTGAGACCTCATCTCTACAATAAATCAAAAAATTAGCCGGGCGTGGTAGCGCATGCCTGTAGCTCCAGCTACTTGGAAGGCTGAGGCAGAAGGATCGCCGGAGCCCAGCAGGTTGAGGCTGTGGTGGCCGGGAGCGGCCACTGCACTCCAGTCTGGGCGACAGAGTGAGACTCCAACTAAAAAAAAAAAAAAAAAGAATGCAACTGTCTTTTGCACATTTATTTTGTACCCTGAGATTTGTCAAAATCCTTTATCAGTGCAAGGAGGTTTCTGATAGATTTTCTTGGATTTTTGAGCTATAGGATCTTATCATCAGCAAAGAGGGAAGACTTCACTTCTTTTCCTATTGGGATAACCCTGATTTCCTTCTCTTGTCTGATTGCTGTAGCTAGGACTTCCAACATTATGTTGAACAGAAGGGGTGAGAGTGGGCAGCCTTGTCTTGTTCCAGGTTTCAGGGGGAAATGTTTCCAATTTCTGTCCGTTTAGCAATATGTTGGCTATGGGTTTGTCATAGATGGCTCTTACTATTTTGAGTTTTACGTGATGAAATATACACAGCCATAAAGAAGAACAAAATTATAGACTTCGCAGCAACTCAGTTGGATTTAGAGTCTATAATACTCAGTGATTTATCACAGAAACAAAGAACTGAATACCATATGTTCTCATTTATAAACAGACCCTGAAGGTTTACCATAATACTGTAAGAAAGGTATTGTCAGTAGCCGGAAGCTGCCAGGGAAGGAGGGGCACATAACATTATTGAGGGTACCTGATCTCAAACCAGACAAAGTGCGAACCCAAGGGTCACCCAAACATTACCTGTATGGTGACCATTTGTATACCTAATCTTCTGTTGGACTCCACATCTTTAAAATAAAATAAATTTAGAAAAACAATCTCCCCCAAATAGCAACCCCCCAAAATCTGTGTTAAGTATTTTTAAGTAGATTAATCCAGGCACCTATTTAATAATATCACAATCACTGTTAAAATCGATGCTTTCTAGGATTCAAGTGTCACAACTCAAATAACAGCATATAAAAAGTGCCCATGTTGGTCGGGCGTGGTGGCTCAAACCTGTAGTCCCAGCACTTTGGAAGGCCAAGGTGAAAAGACTGCCTGAGCCCACAGGTTCAAGAACAGCCTGGGCAACTTGGCGAGATCTCATCTCTACGATAAATCAAAAATTTAGCCAGGCGTGGTAGTTCCAGCAACTTGACGGCTGAGGCAGAAGGATCGCCGAAGCCCAGCAGGTCAAGGCTGTGGTGGCCGGGAGCGGCCACTGCACTCCAGTCTGAGCCATGGAGTGAGACTCCAACACACACACACACAAATTTCCATATTAAATACTAAATTGATGAAGAAACTGAATAAAATAAATTTGATATCTAAAAAATGAATACAGCAAAACAAAAAAAAGTTATATTTCTACTATACTGTAGTATATTAAGTTTTCAGTAGCATTATGTCTAAACAGTGTATATACCTTAATTAAAAAATACTTTACTGCTAAAAAACTAACAAGTATCTGAACTTTCAGCAAGTTATGCTCTTGTTGGTGATGGTGTCTTGCCTCCTTGTTGATGGCTGCTGACTGATTATAGTGGTGGTTGCTGAAGATTGAGGTAGCTGCAGTCATCTCTTAAAGTAAGGCGGGAATGAAGTTTGCTGCATCAAATGACTCTTTTCATGGAAGATTTCTCTGCAGCATGCGATGTCATTTGACAGCGTTTTTACCTGCAATCGAACTTCTTTCAAAATTGGAGTCAATCTTCTCAAACCCTTCCACTGCATTATCAACTGAGTGTATATACTGTTCTAAATACTCTGCTGTCGTTTTAACAGTATTTATAGCTTCTTCACCAGGAGTAGATTCCATCTCAAGAAACTATTTTCTGGCTGGGCATGGGGACTCATGCCTGCAATCCCGGCATTTTGGGTGGCTGAGGTGGGAAAATAGTTTGAGATCAGGTGTTTAAGACCACCTTGGGTAACATAGCAAGATCCCATCTCTATAACTTTTTTAAAAAATTGATTGGGCATGGTGCCATGAACTTGTGATCCTACTTACTCAGAAGGCTGAGATAGGAGGATTGTTTGGGCCCACGAATTGGAGGCTGCTGTGAACCATGCTCTATATCACTACACTTTTGCCTGGATGGTGGAGTAAGACCTTGTCTCAAAAAAAGAAAAAGAAAAAAAAAAAAAGAAAGAAATCACTTTATTTACTCATCTGTAGACAGCAATTTTTCATTTATTCAAGTTTTATCATGAGACTGTAATAATTCAGTCACATCTTCAGGCTCTATCTCAGATTCTAGTTCGTTCAGTATTTCCACCACATCTGCAATTGTTTTCTCGTCTGAAGTCTTGAATCCCTCAAAGTCATCCATGAGTGTCAGAATCTTCTTCCAAACTCCTGGTAATGTTGATATTTTAGCCCTTTACCCATGAATCATGAACATTTTTAATGGCATCTAAAATGGTAAATCCCTTCCAGAAGGTTTTCAATGGACTTTGCCCAGATCCATCAAATGAATCACTCTGTGGCATCAATAGCCTTATGAAATATATTTCTTAAATAATAAGTCTTGTAAAGTTAAAATTACTTCTTAATCCAGAGGTTGCAGAATGGATGCTGTGTTACAAGGCATGAAAACAATATAATCTCCTTGTACATATCCATCAGAGCTCTTGTATGACTAGGTACATTGTCAATGAGCAGGAATATTTGGAAAGGAAACATTTTTCTAAGCAGTAGCTCTCAACAGTGGGCTTAAAATGTTCAGTAAACCATGCTGTAAATAAATGTGCTGTTATCAAGACTTTGTTCTTCCATTTCTAGGACACAAGCAGATAGATTTAGTGAAATCCTAAGGGCCCTAGTATATATGGGATAGCAAATGAGCATTAGCATCCTCTGAAAGTCACCAGTTGCATTAGATGTAGCCAACAAGAGCATCTGCCTGTCCTTTGAAGCCTGGTATTGATTTCTCCTCTCTAGCTTGGAAAATCCTAGATGGCATCTTCTTCCAGTAGAAGGTTCTTTTTGTCTACATTGAAAATCTGTATACACACACACACACACACACACACACACACACACACGTACATATTTCTTTTTTATTGTTGAAAATTTAATTTATTTTACCACTTCTACATGGGATAGTGTAATATATACTTTAACACATGCTTTTGACCATATCTTAAAAAATTAGAAATTGAATTTAAGGCCAGAATGTGAAACTTTTAAGGCTCTAGGAATATACTGCCAAATTTCTTTCCACAATGTACCAATTTTTACTCCTGTGAAAGTTAAGCCAACAATGAAGTTAGAGGGAACAGTCTACAATACTTTCACTTTTCACATAAACTGTAGAGTGTGGGGAACCCTGAGAACACTATCAAGCCTCTATAATTCACCAAAAGGACTCACAGAAAGCTATTATATTCACAATTACAGTTTATTATAGAGAAGGGATACAGATAAAAATTGGCTCACAAATAGACACATAGGGAAGAGTCTAGGAAAAGCACCCAATGTGAAAAATACAGTAATTCTTTCCCTATGAAGTCAGGGCAGTGTTACTTTCTCAGCACTCAGGTGTGGTGATATGCAGGGGTATTGCCAGCCAGGGAAGTTTACTTGAGACTTGGTACTCAGAGTTTTTATTGGGGTTCCATCATGTAGGGAGTCCATGTGGCTGATCTCAGTTTCCAGCCTCTCAGAAGACCACTCTACCTTCTGAACCAAAGCCTCCCACTCTAATTCATATTGTTACTATCTAGCTCACCCAAGGCTCTGTAACCAACAAAGACACTCCTATCAGGTATGGTACTTAAGAGTGTAGAGATTATCTCTTAGAAACTGAGACCAAGGTCAGACTTCTTTGGGTAAAGTTAAATTCTTGCTACTTAAATCCTTTCAGCCGTGTAGGGAAATACCCAACTATTTGACCTCAATGTTGAGTGTGGTTTTTAGAGAACATCTTTAACAGTTTTCTAGTAGAATAAACATCTAATTTTAGCTTATAGTTTATTTTTTTGTTGTCACTGTGGGTTGCTTTTTCTTAAGTTTATTCATTATTTTTATTTTGTCTTTTGTGATTTGCATATTTGTCTTTTATCCATTTCAAGTGTCTTTTATCTTCTTAACTTATCCTCTCAGATTTACTTAAATATACCTTGGTTGTATTTAATCTTTTGATATTAATTCCGACATGCATACATTTAAATAATATCCACAAAGTGGATTTCATAATTCAGGTACTTTTATAGCATATGCTTTATATTAATATTAACATTATTTATTTATAGTGATAGAAAATTTCTTAAGAGAAATATTTGTGTCTTGTATCTTTTACAAATCACTGTAATATCTGAGGCGAACTTTTATACTCTCAATAAATAATGACTGAAGTAAATCCACCTCCTTGAGTTTTGCTTAGCTTTGCATAGCAGTTAAATTTTGTATTTCTTTTGTTCATTTTCAGTCACGAAGCTTCCACTAAGATCTTGATCACTGAGATATTTGTAAGAGAATTGACTCTATAACCATCTCCATCTGGCAAACTGGGAGCCTGTTATTTACTGCCTTTCTGTTCTGTCTTTTGCTCTAAAGGGGGTGTTCCTCAACAGTGCTGTGGTTCTACTTGCCACAAGCCTGTGTCAGGCCCTGTGTCTCCAGCCGGATGGGAGCTGCACGGGAGTGGGAAAGCAGTCTGAGACATCCTACTGGAAAGTACATCAAATCAGCTCTGGGATTTGTATGTTTGAAAGTGTGAAAAATGCACGGATGTATCTAAGGATTAAGGATGGCCGGTGTGATGGAACAGTAAGCATCTGCTCTTATTTACCTCAAGAAATGTTTTAAGACATTTGCCTGTAATAGAAACTGTGAGTATTGATGCAGCTCGTCAGACACAAACTTGCCAATCTGCAGCCAAGGCAGCGACCCAGAGGCCCACCGAAAGCCTAAGTCCTCCCTCTCCCCATTCCCACAAGCTCATGCAAGTTCTCCCACAAAGCTAAACATCACACTGATAAGGAGAAGGGAAAGAGAGGACCTCAGAATTTATCCAAAGATCCCGTTTAAATACGAAAACAACACTTTCTGAGTGGTTTTTGGAAATTTGACGTTATACATAATGGTCCCCCCTTGCTTGGCATTTTTAACGCGAGGAGAGCTGCAGCATGGCTGGTGTGATAAAAAGAGGGATCCCGACCCCTGACAGTGCTTCTGAGATGAAATGTACATACAAAACACCTGTGTTAATTGAGTTAGCTGATTCTGATTCAGAAGGATTGGTGTAGGACCTGAACGTTTACATTTCTTACAAACTCTTAGCTATGACTGCGGATGTCGGTCCACAAACAACACTTTGAGAACCAAGGTTCTAGAAAGTTCCAGCTCAACAGCGTTTCCTTGCTGCTTCATTTGATGCCTGAATTTCCATCACTAGACACTCTGTATGTGGGGAAATTAGTTTTAAATTCTAAATATGAGGCATTTCCCTTTAGCATCTTGAGCCTTAGAAGAGGATGCAGGGGGCATCTAACATAACTCCTTTTATATATTCATAATTCTCCTATGGGTTGAGGAACATATAAGATTGCATTTAACTTTCCTATTAATGTTCTCTCCATCCATTCTTGCTTAAAACAGTTTAGTTTAAATGAGATCTTTTGGATAAATCCTGAGATCCTCCCTCTTCCTTCTCCTCACCAGTGTGACGTTTGGCTATGTGGGAGAACTTACACGTGCTTGTGGGGACAGGGGGGAGGGAGGACTTAGACCTTTCGTGGGTCTCTGGGTTGCTATCTTTGCTGCAGACTGGCAAGTTTGTGTCTGATAAGCTGCACTGATACAATGGAAAAGGGAAAGTACAGGCAAGCACACATTTAGTAAACATCCCTGATCAACTTACCAGTGTGTCATGACATAAGTTTCATCACCGTTTCACAGAAGAGGAAGCCAAGCTTAAGAGACAAAGTGTCATGCTCATGATCCTCAAACCGGTAAGTGGATGAACTGGAATAAAAATAGGTAATGTTACGACTGTGGTCAGACTAGTTAAAACCATGATTTCATCATTCTGCAGGAGGAACAACAGAAGTAGCTTCCCTTCATTATTATTCATATCCACACGGCATACAAGTGCTTCCTTTCTGGGACTCAAAGGAGCAATCAGAATCAGAGAAAACAGAGATAATGTGTCCCTGTATGCTACATGCTTTGGTGTGTGTGTTTAGAGTATCTGGAGGCACAGAGAAGTGTCACTCCAAAGTGGGTGATAGTCTGACATTGGAAATTTGTGTCTTCCCTGGATAGCAACCAAAACGACAGCTCGGTGGTCGCTCACCTTCCATTTAGCTGCCTTATACTCAAGGTGAATGGTGATTTTCATTGTTCTTTGATTCCAATCTGTGTGCCCCTGTCCGTCTCTTTCATTTTTTTCTCAGTGTGCTGGTTGACTTGTTCTTTTCCAAGTGAGTAAACCTCCTCTGCGAGTTTTCAGCAGAATCTTTGGGCCCTGCACTGCAACCTCCCACTTCTTCTTCTTCCTATTTGTGCAACGCAAGATTCAGCCCTACCTGTTTAGGTTGAGAGAGTGGTAGAAGACCTTGACATTCAGTTGAGAGAATCTGGTGAGCATAGGAAGTTGGGCAGAAATGTACAGATTAAAACATAGAACTATTGGTGTGCTCATTCTTCCAATGCAGAAACTAAGTGTGAGCTTGATTGAATAGCTCACCCAGAGCCCTGGAAGGCCTAGCAATGAGCATCCAGGTCTGGCCCTTCTAAGTGTCTGTTGTGGAGGATTGAGGAAACTGGGTTGACCCTGAAGGATGGGACCTCCTGTGTTTTCTAAGATTCTTATAGTTTGAGGTTTTACATTTAGGTCTTTGATCCATTTAGAGTTACTTTTTGTGTATGGTGGTAGGTAGGGGTCCTGTTTCAATCTTCTGCATGTGGTCAGCCAATTTTCCCAGCACCATTTACTGAATAGGTTCTCCTCTCTCCAGTGGTTGTTGTTGGAGGCTTTGTCAAAGATGAGTTGGTTGAGGAATTGAGGCTCTGTTTCCGGAATCTCTATCCTGTTCCATTGGCCTATGTACCTGTTCTTGTACCAATATCTGTGATTTATCACAGAAACAAAGAACAGAGTTCCATATGTTCTCACTCATAAACGGACCTTGAACAATTGTCTTGCTATAAGAAAGCAATTGGCAGTAGTGGGAAAATGTCAGGGAAGGAGGAGGTGGAATTGGCAGCTGCGGGAAACAGCTAGGGGAGGGAGGGGCATACCTCATCAACAAGGTTACCTGCATGGTCAATGATTATGTACCTAACCCTGAATTGTACCCCACATCTTTTTAATAAAAATTTTAAAAAAAGGAAAAAAGAGGAGACCAGGGTCAGTATACATGATAAGGAGATGATTTCAAAAACAAGGCTTTCTGCTCCAGAAATTTTCCAAGAATCAGCCTTGACAGCTTGTCAGGTGAGTGATTTGGCCTGAAATCAATAGGTAGAAGAACATTCTGGGTCTTTCTAGCCTATGTTGTGATGCTTTGCATCAATGCTGGGAATCCCTTTTCTTTCCCCTCCCTGAAGGGCTTCTTGGGATGAAATGCTTGGTTCAGGATTTCCTGTGCATTTTGGAGCTAAAGTAGGCTATTGTGCATTGGAGTTTCAACCCACAGTATCATGTCTTAGATATTTCACAATTTGAAAAAAGCAAGAGGCATTTGTTCCGTTTGCTTTTGGATAGATAAAGCCAAAATGGAGAACTCAGTGAGATCTACTGATAAAGGTGAAGGGGCATAAATGGGTTGGTTACATAGAATTTCATATACAGAACATTAAAATGAGAATACAGGGCATTAGACAGATATTCTCTAGGTCCTTTGGAGATAGGCGTGTCACATCTTAGTAACATGAGCTGTCCAGAGGGTTAAGGTCACTCTTCCAAGGCCTCTCAAGGCAACGCATGTGTATAAAGCAATAGTTAAATGTAAAAGAGACTGGTAAGAGGAACCACGTAAAAGGGTAAACCAGAAATAACCTGTCTGGATATTCAAAATACTGCATTTAACAACTGGTTCGGTAACTGCATCTTCTAGGGTGCAACACTGGGGAAGTGCATGGAGCCAGGATCCCTGCGGGTCAACGATGGAGATGAGGTTTTGCCTGGCCATGTTATCGGGGCCCCAATTTTCCTGCTGGGATCCAGCCTCTGCCACCTAACACTGTCAGTGAGCTTTGATCTCTAGGGGCGCTCACATTCTGGGGTAGCCAGGACATCAGGGAAACACAAAGGGGGCTCAGGCAATGGATACTCACTATCCAATATGGAAGTATTTCAGTATTTAAACAATAGGTATACCTCTACCGATATGTACTAGTTCAATATCAACCCTCAGCTAAGGTGGGGTAGTTGTCATCCTTGAGAGTTGCAGAGGAAATATTGTTACTATGTATGTTTCAAACAGTGGTAAAAATTTCCAGCTTAAAGTAAGGTTTTGGAGGTTTCCTTGGCTTATGACATAACCTGCAGGTCAGTAACTTTGGCCCTTCTTCTAAACTCAGAGGCACAAACATTGTGCTTTCATCTTCCTGTTATTTCTTTTAAAAATCCCAAACTTGTTTTTAGAAAAATTATGGCATTGGGAAGGTGTTGCTAAAAGATCTGAAATTTTACAAAGCCTGTCCACAAAGTCAGAGGCTCTTGAGTACTCAGTTTCCTAAATCATACGAGACTGTACCCCCACTCCAGCCAATGGTGAATTCCCTGATACTGTAACCAAATCGGCAAAGAAAGCAAAGAGAAGAGGCAGATTGTATTTTAGTGTTCACAGCCTAACACAGATGAGTGAACTGTTTTTCATTTGTAGTGACCACGCCTCCTTTATCCTAAGCTCACACAGCCATCAGGCGAGCAAGCAGCAGCAACAGACCCATGTAAATGATCCACCTAAAACTGACCTATGTAAATGATCTTGTGACTCCTTTTGTGTAGTTATTAAAAGATTTGGTAGGAATGAAAAGTTTCTATTCTAAAGTTAATGCGTTTAATCGTAGGGGACAAAAATGCTGTCATTGGACATCGAGGTCAGCTAGAGCTTCTTCTCTGGGTCTCATGTAGCCAGTTGTTTTGTGTATTTTAACAACTGTGTCATTAACAGAGGCCTAAAGGATCACTGTGAGGCTACCTCCTGATGGTGTTTGCCCCTCAGACAACATTGTTTTTTTTGGTTTTTTTTTTGAGTTGGAGTCTCACTCTGTTGCCCAGACCACTCCTGGCCACCGCAGCCTCGACCTGCTGGACTTCAGCGATCCTTCAGCCTCAGCCTTCCGAGTAGCCGGAATTACAGGCATGAGCTACCACGCCCGACTGATTTTTGGATTTATTGTAGAAATGAGGTCTCTCCAAGTTACTCAGGCGGGTCTCGATTTTTTCACATATCAAAGTTCTTAAATTACTCTTTAAATACATTGCTCTGTTTGGGGTTTTTCGTTTGTTTTTGCTAAATATGCATGCTTATTATTATTATTTTTTCTTTTAAAGATATGAGGTACAATTCAGAGTTAGGTATACAAATGTTCATTACGCATGTCCCTTTGTTGATGACATCTGTCCCTGCCCCCCACATGGCAGAGTCCCCCAACTGTCAATCCAATCCACCCTTCCCTCGCAGTTTCCCAGAACTGTCACTCCATTTCTTATAGTATTATGATAATTGTTCAAGGTCCGCTTATGAGTTACACCATACGGTACTCTGTTCTTTGTGATAGATCACTGAGTATGATAGACACTAAATCCATCCAAG